TGTATTTCCTGTCGCAAGAAGTCTGTTAATATGGACCACATCCCCTGTTTCTTACAAGTCAGTACGGCCCAGCAGGCTCCAGTCGTTAGTGTTAGCTGCTGCTTTGAAACCCATAGGTGTGTGGTTTATGAGGGGCTTTCATGTCTGTGCTCTAATGATCACTGACTGACCACACATACACTTTAAAGGGCTGCCACAGCAACTGCATACACAATGTGTCTTTGGGAGGCTGTTCTGGACAGCTGACATCATGGCGGCTGTCTCCACCAGTGTTTGTTATAGATCTTGTCTGCAATGCAGTTGCTGCAACAGCTGAATAGACCTGAAATAGCTGAGCGCTCCTTCTTATGTTTCAATTAAAACAGACGTATGTTTGGGAGTGACACGGTTATTTTAGCCGACAATAAGTGCAAAAAAAAGACAACAACAGACCTGCTTGTTGGCCTTGAGGACGGTCCGCAGGGTTGCGATCTGTTCCCTCTTGGTGCTGAGCAGAGATTTCAGTTTGAGGATCTCCTCCATGCAGGCTTCCTTGTCCTTGTCCGCCACGGTGCCGAGCTCCAGAGAGGCCACCCTCTGGCGCGACAGCTCCGTGGTGCGGTCCACGGCCAGCTGCAGGTGCTTGATCTGGTCCCGGATGATGGCCACCAGATTGTAGATGTTCATGGGCTCGCGGCGGTGGTCCGACACGGGAGAAGGCAGCGAGGAGACCGGTGAAGGGGCTCCGTCGCTCTGGTCGGTCTTACCGGGTTCGGGGAAGAGGCCCTTGGTTAGCAGAATGGGGGAGCGGCGACCACGGCCCTCTGGGCTGCTCCGACCACCCTTGCCCTGCTTGTAGAAGTCAAGCATGACGCGGTTGGGTGTCTCGTTGTTGCACATGCAGACGTGGTTGTAGAGGGTGGCCAGTTCTTCGCTGAAGGTGACCAGCTCGTCCTGTGCCACACTTAGACTGCCCTGGGACTCGCCTGCCACGTCGCTCAACTGAGGACGCGGAGAGAAAGGCGTCAATTAAGCACGTTTTTGTCGTCTTACAAAGTTCCTAAAAACGTCAAAACGTCAATCTAAAAAGCAACATCTCACCTTGCGCACTTCCTTCTCCAGCTTGGCCTTCTCTACTCTCTCTGTGTGACTGGTCTTCTCCAGAGTCGCCAGCTTCACTTCCAGCGCTGTGACGTCGATCTCCAGACGGGTGCGCTCCTCTTCGTAACTCGACTGACAGGCCTGGTATTCTGTCTTCAGAGTCTTCAGTTCCTCCTTCAGCTCTCCTGCTTCAGACACAGCGACCTATGCAAAGCAAGATCAATGGTTGAGAATGCATACAGCTGAGTATAAACCAAGAAGACATGTAGACTATGTAGATTCTGTCCACTATAAGGAGACCTTGTACCTTATACTTGCACTCCAGAATCTCCGGTCCATTGATGTCCACCTCGTAGTAGTCTCCGTCTTCATTGCTGTCGCGTTCTTTCTCGTTGTCCAAGGCGGACTGGCGCTCCTTGCTGGCCTGGAGCTTGCGCATGGCGCTGAGGTTCTCGGTGAGGCGGTTGACCTTCTCCTGGTGCTCGGACAGAGCGCCGTTGACCTGCTCCAGCTGTTTCTGGGAGTCCTGCAGGGTGGACATCAGGTTGACCTTCTCCCGCTCCATCTGAGGAGAGAGAGGCAGAGACACAAAGAGCGATAAGACGGGACGTCATCACACCGCACGTCTGCAATGAAAGTACAGTACTCTCCGCTTGGCTTATTGCACGCGCCCATTCCCGCTTTTGAAAACAGATCACGTTAAAACTAGTGGATTATCTGTCATGTAACTCTACCCACTATCAGGCTTGTGTTTGCTAAGGTATGTGAGGCGCATTGGCCAGAAGCCCAGCACCAGAGTCAGGATGACCGTGACAATCTGCTGGACTGGACTCAGGTCAGCGCTGGCAGAGTCACTGGACGGCTCGTCTTACACACATGCACACAGTGGTGCTGATGTAAGCACTGAGCTATTTCAGAAGCCGATCAGTAAATAATGTATAAGTATGGTGTGCACGCTCATCTGTTTATTATGAGGAATACAGAATGATGATCAGTCTGGACATTCCTTATATCTAATGTTAAAAAACTTTAACGCATAAAACTTTTCATAAGTCAACTAATATTTAGATAAATAATCATATGTTTACAACATGATGTAAATTTGGAAGAGGGCTCGTGGGCAGCTTACAAACATCACTGCCCATCCTCCTCCTGCAGAAGCCCTATTGGATGTTGTTATACATTACCAGGGACTAGTAGGGTGATCTCCGAGGAGCGGACGTCTAGGATCGATCATTGAGTACCTAATCAATAGAGTGAGATGCGGCAGGAGAGGAACAGAGTGGCTTGATGAGTAAAGGAAGCCTTTTATTCGCTCTGCTCTGATGCCTGCCTGGAATCTGTGGAATGACCCGGCAGGAGGCTTCAGCCGGCGGTGTGACACGCTGCTGGGTCATATCAAACACGGGGCTTTGTCACAGCCGGGTCGAGAACCAGAACAGTGCCCAAAGCAGGGCAGCATTGAGGTAACTTTGACTTTACTTTATTAATCCAGCATCCGTGTTTATGTTTGATGGAAAAAAAAGACCTTAATCCTTTAGACCTCAGTGATTATCCACAGGTTCCCCATACTTTCTGGAAACCATGGGGCCCAATCAGATGGCAGGTCCACTGGTGCCACCACCCGCCGCCTCGCAGCCCAGCAGAGCCTGAAGGGTGTGTGTGTGTCTCCCTGGATTAACTTTGCTAGAAGGGGATTGAGATCCCTGCAGCAGGTCAGGATCTACTGACTCACTCACCCTTTCAAACACACCTCCACACTACAAGCCAAGACTTGTTGGCTGTAGTTAACTTGTGGTTAACTGGCTTTGTGGTCACCAATCTATTCTCATATCAAGAACATCTAGAGAGATATTCAAGGTGCTTTATTGCTTTTGACTCTCATTATCTTGCTCTTGATTCTCTCACTACGCACACACTGCAGAAACAAGTCATTTGCACCCCGATCTGTGAGATTGCAATCGATTTATCGATTGTTATTTATCTGCAGAATGGACAGTTATTAATCCCTTAAAGTGGATCGTAGAGGTCTGCGATCTCTTCTACTGTTAACAGACAATGTTTTCATTGGTTAAGAACAAACCTGCATCAGCTGCTGTTTGAGCTTCTGGATCTCCGAGATGTTGAGTTCGCTCAGCAGGTCGTCCACGAGGCTGGGCGCAGGATGGAACACATCGTCCTTCTTGGGCGCGGAGATGCGGTTGTCGCAGGTGATGGCATTGGCCAGCTTGGTGAAGCCGTTCTCGTACCCGTGGAGAGCCTCGTCGTTGTTGGGCTCAGTGCCGGCGTCGTCGCCGAACTTGAGTCCATCCAGAGAGATGCTGAGAGGACTGGGAGGAAAAGAGGGGTGCAGAGCGTCACTTATTGTCCCTTACGGTGTGGACCGAGGCCTGTGAGCGCTTTGTTTGTGTGCCTTTTTCTTTTTTACCTTTGACAAAGCGTGTCTCCAATGCTCATGTAGTGCGAGAGCTCTTTCCTCAGGGACGCCTTCAGCTCCCGCTCAGTCTTGATGGTCTCCAGGGCCTCACCTAGCTGACGCTCGGCGATCTCTTTCAGTCGGATGGCGTCCTCCAGCTGGCTGTTCAGGAACTGAGTGTCCTCCTCCAGACGACGGATCTCATGCTTCAAACCCTCAAACTCCACCTGGGGAAAAGAGGAGAGGAGACACCTTTAATGAGGTTTTTTAGGTTCACGGAGAAATAAATACAACTAGACGCAGCTCCAGTGAATACGAGCCATCAGGCTGGCTCTTGTGTGGCAAACCAGCTGGATCAAAAAGAACGGCATTATTCAAGATAATGTTAATTGAGGACATATCCATATAATTTCCCTTTCTAATTAGTTTTGTTAATTGGATTGTGGAATCCTTTTTATATCGCTTTTGTTTAGTTTCATGCCCTCTGTGATGAATATAAAGAACAGAATCTAAGATGACAAGGGCACATGGAAAGAATTAACAGCTCAAGCATAAAAGCTGACATCAAATGAAAATGTCCTACTTGGATATTTAGCTCTTGTTTTATGTTTGCAGATGTGCAGATTTTTCCTTTCCACTCATTTGACTAACACCAGGAAGTGTGTGTTCAACCATGAGGTGTGAGAATCTCTGTCCAAAGAATGATAGCTGTTAAAGAGTCTGTCAAACACTTCTACAACCAGACGGCAGCTGCTCATCTCTTTACCGTATCAGAGGATGTTTTTATTATGGTAATTAAATCTGAATATTAAAATCGCTCATGTTTGTCGAATCAGTACAAGAAGGAGAGCTGATGAGTGGGAGGTGGAGGGCCTGTAGGGCTACTGAGATGCTGTAAGATGGCACTATACGGTACATGTGTGTAAAATAAAAAGAATCATTGTTGTAAATGTAGACGTGCAGAACGTTCCCAAGCGCCTCTTTTTCAAAGTGCCAGGAGATTTAAAAAAAATTTAAATTTTGGAACACTGCACCGCATGTCATGTGACCAGGAGCAACCAGTCACAGCTGGCGGACATCTTTTCTTTCTTCCATAAATACCAGTCTACGGTAAATATCTGGAGAAGTTAATCATTTTAGTGAAGGGCGACCCAGATCTTTACGATCTGTTGCACAGATTATTTGACTTACTGCAGTCAGAACATCGCGTTGAAAGGTCAGACAAACTGACAGACAAATGGAGCAGTAAAGCTACTGTGAGGGATTTACTGGGCTTTGTTTTGACTGCGTTTGGTTTAGTCAGTGAGGCTTACTGCTAAATCGCCACAACTGCATCCTCATCATCGTCGCAGCGTGCAGGTTTTAGTTGCTGAGTAACGACAGGCACTACAGCAGCGCCCGGCTGGCGCTTTCTGAGCGTTTCTTAGACGCAACAGGTGCACTGCCCCTAATTAAGCCCAACTAAAGAAGACCGCATGATCACCTACAGCGAAGGTAAAAAGAAGGGGCTGCTCTGCTGCATGACTCAAACTTTGTGCATCTACAGCTGCAGCCCTGCTCCATCCTCACCTGGCTCTGCTTGAGCACGGAGACCTGCTTCTGCAGCGAGATGTTCTCCTCCTCCAGCTCGGTGTAGTCCTGCAGCAGACGAGCCTCCCGGAACTTGTACTCCTTGACGTCGTCACGCAGCTGATTCCTCTGCAGTTCCACCATCTGGCCGTTCTGTGGGGCCAAAGGAGGAAGAGGGAGGGAGAAGAGGAAGAGTTGTCAGTGACCACTACTTAAATCTTGTTTGACCGAGTGTGGGAGAGACGGCGATTGATGGGATATCGTTGCTTTAATTTAACCGTTAGTGTCACATTGGCTCGTTAACGCTCTAAATCTTGCTGGATAAGAATGGACTCCCATCTGCCCAAACCAGTCATGTGTGGGTGTGTGAGTGTGAGCGTGTGTGTGTGCCTCTTCGTGTTGAGACTGAGAGGGAGGTGCCAGGTGTCCTTCTGGGCAGTGGGCCACAAGTGTGCCAGCCTGCCAGCTCCGATGGCGCCGCAGAGACTGAAGCCTACTTATCTCTCTCTCTCTCATGCTGAAAGGCATTCAACGGCCGGGAAGCACTCTACTGGTCTAATTTTCTATTGAGGGGCTTGGTGTCTCTATACAGATGGATACAAGGACTGATCAGTGCAAATTGTGGAAATCAGAGGTAATGCAAAAAGTGTCTGGATTTTAATTGGAAAAAAATTCTAACAGTTAATATGTGCCGATATTTTGAGTGTGTTCTGTCCTTGACCAAAGAAACTCTCAATCCTGTGTGTACTGTAAGTGCAGCTGGCTCTCTCTTGCTCCTCAGGAAAGGCACCAGTAATTATATAAAAGGTAGGAGAGGTAAGAGACATGCCCTTCCCCCACTTCCCCCGACTGAAGGATCTGATCGTCCCCGCTGAGCCCCCCCCGTGTCCTCACGACTACGTCCATCGCCATGTTTAACCCTCCGTCCTCTTCTTTTAAGGTTCGGCACCGTCGTCCTCCCATCCCCGGCTGACCAGCTCATCCCCAAAAAAATAAAGAGCCCAGCAGGACATTTGGGTGGTGGAAATCTTAGCTGGCATCTTCTCAGAGAAACAGCAGATAAAAGCTCTGAAGTAAGGAGACACTCGCTGAAGGAGAGAAGGCCTTTTTGAGCCAACCGACAAGTAACGTTTAGAGTGTGTGTGTGTGTGCAGGTGCACTCAGTTATGGGTCTGCGTGGATTTGATGAAACACACACAGTCAGCATCGTCACCTCCTGCAAAGTGCAGAATATTTACGTGTGCGAGGCAGCAAGAGAAGAACAACAGTCTCTGTATCTACAGTGTGGTTAGGATTTGCATGTGTGTGTGTGTTTGTGGCTGAGTGTGTGTGATGTGCGTCTTCCTCTCAGGAGAGTTGGCAAATAGAACCTCAGACCAGCGGGACAATTAGCCTCCCAATCCCGTGCCAGGTGGCCCCTTCCTCTCACGCTGTGACCACGAGGCCGGGCCGCATCACAACCCCTGCTCTCGGACCGCTTCAACGACCACAGGAAGTCAACCCTGAGAGGCTTTCGCTTTGCAGACCTATATAAATTTCAGTGTTGTTACTTATTGAAAGAGAGCGGGTGATAAGCTGGTGGCGATGTGTATCCTGATGGCTAGAAACAGCTTTTAACAACTAGAAGGGCCACAAGTTCGATCCCCTCAACGGTGATGTGCTCAGACCCCATTAAAGACAGTGTGTAGCATTTCGTAGGATCTATTGGCAGAAATAGAATCTAATATTCATAACTTTGTTTTCATCAGAGTATAATCGCCTGAAACTAACTACACGCTGTGTATCTTTAAAGACAACTTCCTAGTCACACAATATTCACAACTGAGTATAGTATAAATAGTAATACAGCTTTATTAATAACCACGCTCTCTACCTAATGTGACTCTGGAGACTATCATGCAACCATAAACAATTTGTTATTGTTACTCTATAATTTGATTTATCGCTTATTTGGCTTACTGAGGGAGGACTTCACTGACAAACATGCTGCTGCTGGATCCCCGCTGATGAAGAGTACACGCTCCTCGTTTGCTCTGTGTAATAATTAATCACTGTGTGTAGAGGCGAGTTGACGTTTGAAGGTGCATTAATATTCATCTGGGTTTCTCTGCGCATGTCTAATGAGCGTGGGCGTTTGCTGTGCAAAAGCCCTGGTGTTGGTGCATTACTGCATAATGCATGAGCTTACAATACTGATCAGTCCTACCGCTAAGCCTCCGTGCAGTGGTCCTGACTTCTGAGAGAAATGTGAATTAAAGCAAAGAAAAAAAAGAGCTGGAATCAGTCAAACCATGAATAGATTCAGATATTCCAGTTGTATGCTTTTGGACTATCAAACTACATATACAACTATTTTATTAAGAACATCAGCATAATCGTCCACACCAGTAATCTCTTGTTCTTGACTCCACAAAGCTGTGCCAGCTGGTTGTTGGGAGTCTTTTCCTGGCCAGGGTGATGTGCCTCAGCTGGAGGCTCAGTGCCGTCCGGTGCCGATGAATACAGGCCACCGCTGAACCCGATTATCATCCTCCTCCAATCTGATTACAATGCATAACGGGGCCTTGACCTTTCACCTTGCTTCCACATCCTCTGCTGCACTGAGCCCCTCAGAGACCGGGGGTGGGTTTACACCGAGCCGCTGTTTGACGGAAGCTGATTTGAGTAAACTCATCAGGGTTTGCGGCGGCCATGTGCATCCCCCCACTCCCCTGCTATAAAGGGCGGACAGCATTTAATCACGAGGAGCGCACTCCTGGGAATGTTTGAAATATATTGTGGTATTTGTGTGAGTGTGGCTGTTTAGACACTGGGGTGTGGGGGCCTTTTATTAGCGTGGGCCTGTGTGTGGTTAGTGAGGACCCCCCCGCCTGCTGTCACTACAGGTGACGTCTTAACAGCTGCTTGAATCCGCCCACACACACGCAGACAAATGTGTCACTTCCATGCAAAGGGGGTGGGTTATTCAGGAATACCATAAACATACATTAGATGTTTAAAGGCACAGTGAGGGGCAGTGCATGCATGTGTGCACGCATGATACAGCACACTATCTTTTGCTCCAATGAACCCTCTCTAGGTTCATACAGTGCTGCAAGATGTCACAAGAGCAGCACACATTTCGGTCAGAGCTTCTTCCAACTGCACTGTTTGAAATCTACCACTTTCAACTCCAAAGCTTTCTTTTTCGCCATTAAACTGCTTCTGACAGCCCAGTGGGGTTGAGCCTGCTTAAATCCATAAAGCTCAGAGTAATGTCTCAACGTGTTTGAGCCGCTATAACCTCGACTTCAGCGGGAAACCGCTCCGTCGCTCAGTAAGCCACGGTGGCAAAGTTTCAGGCTTAACTCAAGTGTAGATTAGGAATGTTTTAATGCTGTGTTGAAGGCTCCGCTCAGTTCTTATTAACTCCAGAGAGTTTTTGTAAATATGAATTTCTGCTAATCCATACTAGCTTTTTACTCCATGGTTTGGTTCCCTCGAAAGTGCTGCCCAAGAGTGTATTATTGATGTGACAGCACAGACAGGCTAAATATAACTATAGTTTTATCTTGTTTTTCTTTTCTCTCTCGCACTCTCACTCCACTGACCTCATTTTCACTCTCCATCCCACTTTGCACTTTGCGCTGGATTTCTACAAACTATTGCAAAGTGCAGAGGGGTTCCCAAGTGGAATGACACCAAGAGCAGGTCAATACTGCTTCTTTTTCTAACCCACTTTCTCGGCTTCTCTTTCTAAAACCACTGACCTCCATTTTGCTTTTCCCACCAACAATTCTGCTCTCATTTTTTCCAACCCCCACCTCCCCTCCCCTCCCCTCTCCTCTCCTCTCCTCTCCTCTCCTCTCCTCTGCATGTGTCAGTGTGGTTTTAGAGGCCATGTATCAGTCACAGTTGAATTCCTTCCTCCTACGGAGCTTTAGTTCCATCATATCTGTATCAGATATAGGGACGGCCATGTTCCCTTCCACTTGTAGATCTCTGGTGATATTGTGCTCCACTGAGCACTTCGGGCTCTTCAGTAAACTGATGACAAAAAGGTTTCTATGTCCTGTAGGCTCTGCAGCAGTCAAGGTCACGTCAGCATGAGTTAAATCTAACTCTACGGAGCCGAGAACATCGCAGGATCACCTTCAGGAGAGACAAGAAATGAATCACAGATGCGCCACAGCTCAACCCCTCCCCCAGTGTAGGTTTAGACAGAGCAAAGGAATAATGAAGCTCAGGGGCCTATCGCTACTGTCACGAGTTGAGAATATCGCTGAAAGCAGATCTGCTTTTATCCTCTTCTTCGCTGCAAGCGATTGTCACTCTTTTCAGCCCACCCAGACCCCATTACGGAGACAAAACACAAGTCAGGGTCACACTTTTCAATGAGACAATTAAAAAGTAAAAAGTGAAAGGAGCCTTGTGGGCGCCTGGCTGATGGTACTTTGTCCAGCGTGTCACTGTTGAAGAGCCCACAGGGCGAAAATGTGCCTGCACGCACTCAACAGCGAATTAGAGATTTTGAGGTTGTTTAGATGAAAGTGGAGAGACGTGCACGTGAGAATATGCACACCCATTAGCTGGAGTGAATGTGTAGGCCTGTTTGTGTGTTTGTGGTTGATTTATTAGGATCCATTGATCCGGCACGGGGAAACCTCTTTGGTGCTGTGAGCCGGGGGCTTAAATCAAGATCGACACACTGTCAGAGCTTCCTTACAGCCGATCCAGAGGACAAACATTATTAGGGATCAATGGCACCTTCTAAATGTATTTTAGAGAGGCACCGCTCTTAAGGGACAAAAATAGCCATCAATCTGTGAGACGTGCCACCCATGAGGCGGCTAGCTGGGGTGGAAGTGAGATTAGGTGATGTTGGGTGCTGTGCTCAGATAACCTGCAAAACATCTGGAGGCTGTAGAGTCATTTGTGGGTCACTCAAAGGCTGGCGCAAAAATGGAAACCGAAGCGGCACGTGTCTGAGTTTTCACACCTCTTCTTGCTATGTTCCTCTGCCGTATCAGTCTTTTTCCTCAGAGACCAATTTTCCAACCTTTTCTGTTTGTCTTTTCGTACTGCCCACCCCCTCCAACCAGCACATGACAGGAGGTGATCCGTCTTGGCATTAATGTCACAAGGAATAATAAGGCAGTCGACATCAACACCCCAAAGCCCTCTAGGAGTCCTGTTACATTAGCCTCACGTCAGACGATGATACCAGGGAACAAAGAGCAACCGTCCTTGGATCTCTTTACCGCTCAACTCTGACCTTTCAATAATCAAGGCAACGTGTCAGATATAGAAATAGAATAGGAGTAGAACGGACATCGGACCGTTTACCGCGGTCATTTTGACTAGTAAGAAAAGAAAATGTCGATTGCTGTTGGTTGTTTTGGGGGCAACACATGTGAGTGGAGGTGTAAAGTGTTGTCGCAGCTCACCGGGAAGAGAGCGGACTGGCTAGTTAGCTTCTCCTTCTCGGGAGCAGCTGAAAGTGAGACGTAAGGACCTCTAGACCCGGTGCTGCCTCTGGCATTAATTAAAGTATTGCGGAATTAACAAGCTAGCTAGCTTGTTAATTCCGCCATGCTTTAATGCTATACTGGTCGCAACGATACACATAAAAATGGCCGCCGCTGTGAATTTCCTGCTACGTTGATTTGAATGGAAATGTCCGTTCTACGTCTACTTTATTTCGATGCTGTGAACACTGACGTGACGACTAAAAATCCTGCTCTCATGTCGATCTGCTCCACTGAAAACCTGCAGCCGTGCACTCTCATTTCTTCTGATTGCAATAAATACAGAGGCCTTCCTCTCAATGAGCTTTACACTTCTGCCCTCCTCCGACCTCTTGAACTCATCCCGTTAATGCAAATGCCCCCCCCCCCCATCTCTCGACCGCCTCACTTCACGTTGTTTAATCAGGCCAGTCGATGCAGCACTTCAATTAAGGGGAAAGCCTGACAGCTCCGTCGATCCGTGTCAATGAGGTGGAAAAACCAATCATGTTTAACATTTGAATGGCCTGCACATAATGGTGATTGACAAACAGCACTACATCATAATTTATGTCTTTGTATGGAAAATGATCCGCGTAAGCGAATCACTTCAGGATGACAACGGTTACAGTGGCAGCAGCACAGCATCCTGAGTGATGCACACGTAGATAGGAAGTACTGCAAGCAACCATGTGGTGATGCTGAGGTGGAAATCCATTACATTTTTTATGAGTGTTTTTATCTTTGGCTCTGCTTTGATAATTTCCTAAAAGAGGCAGGCAATGGGGATTCCCATTCTGCAAGGATAGTGGCAGCCATCACTGTAGGCACATTCCTCTCAAGACATGCGATTGAATTTAATTAAGTCATGCCTATTAGAGTGCGCCTCCTTACAACGTTACTGGCTCTTTATGGAGGTTTAATCCTGTAGACTGCAGCGTAGCAGTGAAATGTGTCTTATTGGCACTCGGGGCTGAAACACTGCCTGGCAGGATTGAACGTGATGTCGGTGCCCAGCTGAAGCGCTGTAACTAAATGGTTGTGAATGAACGGGCCAACTACAAAGACGAGCTCTGTTTTACACCGAAGCCTCCAGATCTGTAGAATAATGACATCATCTCGTGATGACTTTGTGAATAACACACACAGAGAGACACGTTTATAAGCCTTCTTTCAGCTGTGCTAGAAAGCTCTTTCCAGAGGAACCTTGTAGATGTGCAGCAGCAGAAAAACAAATCCCCCAATTTCAGCCACAAACAAAAGGCAACAGTTACAGCCCAACTGTCGGTTGCATTCCCTGATCAAATTGAGTCATGTAATCAACCTCCTGACCCAATATGATTAGCCAGGCTGTCCCAGAATAGCAGCCCGGTCCACCACTGGTGCCGAGTTTACTCTCATTAAGCCTTTCTCCTTCTCCAACGGATTTTAGAATTCCTAGTGCCCCCTCCTCTCCTCTCTTTCTCTCCCTGCCTGGGCTATTTGGGCTAATTTGAAACCCGGGAGACAAAGGCCTCTTTTCAGACCTGTCAGTCTGGTCACAATGCCAGCTTCAGTGCCCAGGCTCCCTCCATTTGCCTGCCACACACATACTCCTCCTAGCACCCACAGAAGTACCATTAGAAGGGTGTCATTATCTTCCATACATGGGCCAATTTACACTCCGGGTCCCTTTTATCCTGCCAATTAGAGCCGACTGCTGCATCAGGGTGTTTATAATGGGAATGGTACCTGCAGAAAAGCCATCATGCAGACCACCAGCTGCACCGAAGCTGTAGATCAGACATGCGAGAAACACTGTACACATTTTTCTAAATAATATGAGATTTAAGAGGCACGATATCTTTATAGAATGTAGTAATGTTTAAGTTAACTCTTGGAACGACTGCAGTTAGTTAAGGTTTATACTGGTGAGGCACATCTGGCTTCCATTATGCCCAAATTATACCAACTTAGACTAAGAGCTGAGCAGCAGCTGACCTAATTATAGCAGAATGTAGAGCTTTACGAAACTTAAGTCATTTTGAGGGACATGCCGTTTTTAAGTCTCTCACTAAAAAAAAGCTGCTGACATCTGTCTCAAGCAGTGACTCACGGTAAACAGCAGCAGTCCCTGCAGCTGCCTGCCAAAGATTTTAGACTCACTCCGAAGGGGAGCCCTCTTTTAACCCCCCCCCCCCCCCCCCCCGAAATACACTGGAATTACCAACTTGACCTGCAAAACAGAGGACTCAGCTAAATCTGCTGTGCACAAACACAGGACGATTTGGAATACTGATGGGTTTGACTACCATGTAGTGGGAACATTATACAGAGAGGAGGGCTGACTGTCATGATGCAGAATGTGAAGCACAGAAGCACATGGGCCTATTTGGTGCATGGGTGGAGAGGGATGCACGGAATGGGTAACAATACCGGTGTTTCAGCACCAACATGCGGTTGAGCTCCTTCCTGGTGCAGTACGTGATGCACCGTGCACCTACCTAGAGACGCGTCAAATAAATCAAGTTACATTGAACAAGAGTTGTCTGTTCCTTCTCTTCTCACACAGCCCACCTCCTCAAAACAAGCTGCGACTTCAAAGCTGCTACGTCGTCTTTAGTATTCCAGCTGGTACACGGCTGTCGCGGGAGCGTGGGCCAAAGAAGCGCTTCTGAAGGTGAGAGGCTCTTTTCATCCTTTCACGTCTCTCTCTCTTTGCGTCAAAAAGGCTTCTTCAAAGCTTCGCACATTTCTCAGTCCGTTTCAACCTATACGGCTCTCCTGTTAATGCAAAATCGCACATGCATCTTCGCACGCCTCTGCACTGCGCTGCAACCCCGTCTCTTCTAATGAGGTCAATTAGCTGTGAGTATATGTAAATGGAGCACTCAACGGGTCAGACATTGTCCAATGTGGGGCGCAGACAATAAAAAGGTCAGCATTGTGATAGTCAGGTAAGCTTAGGAGAGAATATGAGAAATGTTTGCTGGAATCTCTGAAGGCTATATGCTCAGATTTAGACACGGCTTGTTCAGTTAATAAAAGGCTGGTTTGAGGAGGAGTTGTTATAATGAGGCATGTCACCAACGCCACAGCCGTCATTCAACAGTTCACACAAATTGAAGATATTAACTGATTCATTATTCAGGTGGAGTCGTGCCATCTTTCGCATCAGAGCATGTTTCCCATGGAACCTGTGTTTTTCATCCATCTGTAATTACGACTCCGCCCTGCATCACAACAGGAGCGGAGCGTATCGCATGAGGCTTGAAGGCAAGGTGTTGCTTCGATCTGCCTGGTCTCTGAAGTCATTACAGTGCGGTTAGTCTTGTCTTAGCATGTCAGGAACACAACAGTTGTGGACTCTGCAGTTCCACCCTGAATAGTACAGGCCTGGGCAGCAATCGTCAAAGTATCAGAGGTGAATGAAGGCAGCTGCAGTAATTATGCAGCACTAAAGAAAAAACATCTATCTATCAATAGATATATCATGCGACAAATCATACGACTTGAAACTGGCTTCACTTTAAAGAGATGACACTGAATAATTACACTTAGATGCTTTTACTGTATCCATGGGGGGGGGGCATGAGAGGCAGCAGCATGCCGTGTTTAATGCTCCATTGTCTTTAGGGAGGACAAGTAGTGGAGCTCTGTTAATATGGAGGCAAAAAAAAGAATTTAGAATTGCACAACTTGAAACTAAGTGACATTTAAACGGTGGATTCAAACCACATAAATCAAGTCAAATATCTTAATGCTATGAATTCAGTGTTGATTGATTTTCAGCAGCATTAAGTGATAATTACATTTCACATTCAAGGCATTCAGTTGTCATATGATGGGAATCTGTACGACCTTTCTTTGCTTCCAAAATTAACCACGCAACACAGTGTTGGAGAAGGAGTACAGGACAGGATATAGATATATCTCTAGATAGATAGATAGATAGATCTCTAGATAGATAGATCTCTAGATAGATAGATCTCTAGATCTCTAGATAGATATATCTCTAGATCTCTAGATAGATATATCTCTAGATAGATAGATATATATATATAAGAGCTGCAGTTTCCTCCTGGGCTCAACTACACAGAGCTGATCAGTGATTAATATCCGTTATGTTTTCTGCAGCTTCAGACCTAAAAAACAACAACAAACACATCCGTTGTTCTCAACAGCTGCAGGCAAACAGCGGCAGACCCCCTCTGCTTCAACTGGGAAGTGAGTTCAATTTAAAAGTATTGACACAGGAAAAAAGAACCACCAGGAAACAGCGTCTTCTGATGAACAGTAAGACTCTTAGAGAGGACTTTACCCAGTCCTCTTGTTGACCTCTCACACATCACGTGTGCAGTGTGCATTAGTAGCTTCTTATGACACATATCCAGCTGACTGAACTGCAGATTACATTGTGTAATAATTGTGCTCCGATTCTGGTTGCGTATGTGTGACTCTTACCTCTCTCATGTCCTGGGAGATGGTGTTCAGCCGTTCGTTCTCAGACTGGGTATTGGTGAGGATGTTGCGCGCCTGGCGGAGCTCCGCCTGCAGCTCCAGGACCCTCTGCTCGTAGTAGGCCTCCTTACAGGCCGACTCCTGGATGAGAGACTCCTCACGGCTCTCCCCATCCGCTGCCACCTTCCTGTGGTTGGAGTAGGCTTGTCCGAAGGCCTGGAGACACAATAAAGGAGGAAAAGAGTTGTTATTCAGACGCTATAGTTTTGAGAAATATGGGAGGTTATGTGTTTAATTCACTGTTGATACTATAAAATTATATATGCAAATCAGAGGATGAAGAAGAACTGTAACCGACAAAAGTTTGCTTTTGTGATTAAAGTGACACTAATCTCTACGACTGCGGTTCAGCCGGGGACTCAAAAACCTCCCTAAAACACTGCCGTCGCCTCGTAGAGATAATCAGTTCGGCTCCATCTGGACTGCATCATCCCGCCTCCCCCCCTTTGCTCCCCCATTTCTCCCTCCCTTACCCGCAGGATGCTGCCCTCCCCTGCACCGCAGTGACTCCAAACAGGGAAAAGTAGAGCAAATGGTGAGTGGCGTCTGGGTGATCATGTGTTCTAATACTCTTTAATACCTTCAGAGATCATAGTTCAGGAAGGTCAGAAAATATTGGTCGATTTTTACAGATTAATGAAATTCATGGAGATTAAAAAAACTACGGAAGACATATCTGCTGCTGGGAATATTCTCAGCTAAAGAGGGCCGGGATTAGTCGTGTAGTTTGTGCAGATAGTTTCACTATAAATAGTGCCGCCTTAACTCTGACCTTAATTTATAAATGGCCTGCCATGCAGCAAATAATGAACAGAGACAGACAGGGAGAGACGGGAGAGCGAGACCTAAACTGCAGCAGAATCTAGGTTAGGCTATACTCTCCTACTCTCTGCCGTCACCAAATAATCATCTCCCTGATTACAGATTTTGGATCTCCATTCCTGTAACCACCGGTGATCCCAGCGGGCATTGATCTGAAGTCACCTGAGGCTCTGAATCTGACCTTGTTTGCAGCTGCAGCGCACTCTCTCCTCTCTCTGACCTGCCACCTTTTTACGTCTGCCGCGGGATTTTTCTCCGTTCGACTGCATATTGCATTAATCCCAGTAATTCCTTCAGAGAAGGAAAATCTGGAAATTTGCATTAGTTGCTCTGGCCTACTTGTAGGACTTAGACCAATATGCGAACGTGTAAAACTATTTCAGGGCGTGACATTGTGTCTCGTGCAGGGCGGCTGCAATATCTCTCACATTCCAGGAAAGAGGACGATTCAAATGAGGAGATGAAAAGATAAACCTCACGCTGGGACGCAATATGCTTTATTTAGAAGCAGTTTGAAATGGGTTTGGGATTCTTGGTCAGAAAATACAAGCAATTTGAAGACATCATGTTTGGTTTAAGAGAACTATAATGGACATTAAAACACACATTTTCTGACTTTTCAGGAACCAAAAAATGAATCGAGACGATTATCTGCAGATTAATTGAAAATAAAATAATAGTCAGTTGCTGCCCTACAACACAAAGTGACTGGACCAACCGAATTTAGTATAAAAGTGCTACACACGCTGGACATACATGTGTAGTAATCACGGTGTCCTAATCACTAAGAGGTGCTTTAATAATCATAAAGCCAAGGTTCATATTGATGCTTATCGACAGCCAAAGTGTCTGTCAATAAACAACTAATGTCAGTAACTGTAGACAAGAGTATCTGTTCAATAGCTCTCCTCATACCTTCCCAAACACCTCCCTCCTCTCCAAAAAAACAGCAGGAGGCTGTATTTGATTAGAAAGTCAGACAGGATTAACCCAATCAGAAAGCAGGGGAATCCCATCATTATAATCTTGATGTACGGTGGATATCGAAGGGACTCCGATCAATCCAATCCGAGAGGACTGTCCTTCAAACAGTAGAGCCCCGAGCCAAACCCCTGTGACCCACGGCCTTTAATCCCAACTCCCCAAGCGTGGGTTTGGGCTACTTTTAGGGGAGGGGAGATAGGGGCCGCACGCGACCACGCCAGTAATCCCACCGTGAGCTGCACACCCAATTCATAATTTATCTTCAGCTTGCCATATGTTGCAGTTAATTTTTTTTACATTAGAGCGTGGATTATCTCTTGTATCGCTAATCAAAGGCTGTCTGGACTGGATTTACTGTCAGAGGGCCGGGGCTAACATAATGACGCTATATGAGGAGAAGTCAACAATTCAAGAGTTTTATCCCAGATTCCAGATGAGTGCTTGTATGACGGGCTGAGGCCAGACACCCTGCTGGGCTGGTCTTCATAAGGAGGGCTGCCATGTGGAGATCAAAGTACATTACCACTAATCAAAAGCATCATGTGTTTGAGTGCAATTTAGAAAAACGAGACGAACACCTCTGATCTTAGTTCTATCCGTATGGTTTTCATCACTTCCTCATACATTGCTCACAGCACAGCAGATGCTCTGACTACCCTGGTCACAAGATCAACACATGCCCACTTTAAAGATATAAATAAAGACTCTTAATGGGTGCATGAATGCAGACTAGTTTAAGGAAGGATGTGGTTGCTATGCCTTCAGTTCTTGTTTTAGGTACAGCCTTTATCAAAACACTGGTTTCTCTGGTAATTGGTTTTATTTTACAGCCAGCGTTGTTGAACTCGATCCGCTATCTGTCGGTTTATCTTTCAGCGAAACAAACGTTGCTACGACAGCGTGACTGCTTGTGTTCAAAGCATGCTGGGACATGGCATAACCGCTGTGTTGTCCTCTAATCTGACTGTCTTTCGGAGGCAAAGTCCGCTGAGTAGAAGGTGATGTGATCACATCTTACAGCGATGTGATCACTGTTCGGTAACAGGGAGGGGGAATGCTAAACGCTGGGCTCTAAAGGTTACAGCGCTGCTCCTAATGTTCAACACCTTACATGGTGACGGATGTCAACGCAGAGGCAATAATAGGTCGCAGGGTTCACCCTCCTGCACATGTTCCTCGATATCCTCTGAGTCAGGAGCACAGGACACAAACAGATCGATAGTGCGAGTCTCAGAGGCTTTGTGGAGATCAATTAAACCAAATCTAAAATTCTATTTTTGCTGTTTCTGTGGCATGAAGCGAGATCAGGGAGCAGGTAGAGATGAGATCTGGGGTGGAGAATAAAACCACTGGATACATTCACGTTAACTAACACACACACACTTAAATCAGAGGCCAGGAGCATTTCAATCAATACGAGGTAGTCCTCTTGGAAACCTTTGCCTTAAGACCAAAACCCAATTAGGACACTCTCTGGATTTGGATCCGATTCTTCCGTCTCTGCTCCAGCTCTAATCATCTCATTGTTAAAGTTTCTATTCGGTCCCCCCGTGGTCTCCCAGCCTGGATCTGATAACAAAGTAAAGCTAGGCTGTGTGTGTGTATGTGTGTGTATACGACGGTGCGTTTGGAGAGACGTGTGGACCGGAGTGGGCAGATGTTGAGCTGAGATTTTCCGCCTCCACAGCAGCATTCTTGTGCCATGACAAAGACCGCCTGTGACCGATGCTGAACAATACAACGCTATGTCCCTTAGGTCAGTTCAGTTAGTCGTATACAGATGGAGAGAGAGAGAGAGAGTCAGGGTCGACCCCATGCAACACTGAGGGCCGGTCAGGGTTAGTTGTCATTGAGGAGAGGAGAAGCAGGAAGAGAGAATCAAATAAATAAAAAAACCACACACACACTGAATGGATTCCTCTGCCTCGTGAATCACAGCTCACGTGGAGTCGGTCGGTGACGATAAACAGAGACTCTCTCTCCGCTGTGCAGCCAGCGAGGTAGAAGGGACAGATCGCCTCGAGGTATGCGCCGATTCTATATTTAGCTGTCCGTTACCAACTGCTGAAAATAAAAAGGAACGTGTGACCTTCTACACTCACCGTACCTCATTAGGACACGTTAGATCTCCGTGTTGTGTGTCTGCGTTCGGTGTAACATGCTTCTGTGAGGAATGCTGACTGCGTCACGTGGCTGTGTATGCTTGTTGTTGATCAGTGCATGTGATGCCAAAGCCAATGACACTCGCTGTAATGAGTAACAGAGAAGCTAATTATTTACTTCAGACTTTAATCTTCAGTGGGATGGGAATTGAAAAGAGAGATTCACATCCCTCGGAGGTTATGATTCACTCTCCGCTGGTTTTGAACTGACAGTTTCTCACCAAATCAGCAACTCTGAATTTGGAAAACAGGGATTTAATATGGCAAAAATATAAAGAGGAGTCGATCAACAATGAGTAGAAGAAACTGGGATATGTAACAGTTAGATGTATGAGAGTCATTAAATGTGCCAAACTAACAGAAGGAGAAAGAAGGAGGGAAAAAAGAAAAAGAGGTGAGAGAAATGGGAGGGAGAGGTATTAGCTGTTGCCTGGCACAGAGCCACATTGATTCACTGCATAGCACAGAGCCGTTGGGTTATTATTCACACACACACACACACACTCAACACAAATACACACATCCCATTTCCAATTTTCCCAGCGTGCCCTGCAGTCAGCCGTACTGCAGCACCTGGTGTTGCCGTGTTGAGGCTTGCTCTCGCTCCCGAGATAACGGAGGAAGAAGCGAGTGTTCAAAGCCTCGTCGGGGTTCCACCAACACTGGTGGTGTCAACACGCACGGCACGCCGAAGGCAAGGAATGCACACTACAGAGAGTGTGAGAAAGCAGAGGTTAGAGAAAAAACAACCGCGTGTGAGTTTTACGAGATGTATGTTTCTTTAAAAGAATAACTTCTATAGCCTCGAGTGGACCGGCTGAACGTTATACTCTCATCAGAAGACTGAAAGGGCGTGAACCTCTGGAAAAACACAACAACACAGCTGTGCCAGATTGTGGATCTCTTGAGTTGCAGGACAGAGAAAACAGAGGATGCCAGAAGAGACGGAGCTGTTGGGAGAAGATAGACACATGTGATCAAAGTGCACACACACACACACACACACGATGTACTAATCAGACTCATGAGGCACTTTACACGCCTCACTGAAGAAGTCGTCCTCAACCATAATAAAAAAGCATCAGAACAGCCTAATTGGGCTGCAGCTCAGTGGTACATACGTTCTCCCAGCTTACATCAGGCTGTAATGATTACCCGCTAGTTAGCGCTTTCATCAGACCTCGCTGGGGGAAAACTACACTTCATATTTTATTCCGACTTCACATCGGCCACTAATCTGGACTCGGCATTAATAACTCAGATCAGATCTCGTGTTCAAACATGATGCTGATCTATATTCATCATATGTCAGAGACGGGAGCGAGAGAAACATATACCCGCTTCGTAAAAAAGGTGAAACACCTGCAAAGAGAAGACAATCAAGCCGGCCACTGCCATTATAGTGTCAGCCTGAAGGCACCATATAATGTTGGTGTTCATGAGCTGGCTCCTGTTATTACCAGGGAAAAACAGTCACTATGCCTCTGGCAGTGGGCTAAAGAACCCGAGTGTGAGCGCACACAGTTTATTTAGCCTTCAGTGGATATGATACATACGACGAACGCAGCTTCTAAATGCTACAGAATAGGTCGAGTAATGAGAAAAAGTCATTTTTCACACCACTCATGAGTGAAATACAAGCCGAGTCCAAAAACAAACCAAGTTCCACCATCAACATTTAGATAAAAAGCTGCTCCAAGTGTTTCCAGAGAAAGGCTCGGCTCGACTTGAGTTACTGTTTCTCTCTTCTCGGACGCCATGAGAACCTGTCTGTACGGGCGAGATGAACCACGGGGTCTTCAGTATTTAATCAGTCAATTAATCACAAGGAAGCATCTGTTTGTCCGGCCCCATTGTCTAGGGGCTAAATCTGGAGGAAAAAGCCGGTGTCTCGGGGGGGCAGAGACTCAATAGGTCTTATCTATCTATCTATCTATCTATCTATCTATCTATCTATCTATCTATCTATCTATCTATCGAGAGAGAGAGAGAGAGAGAGAGATGCAAAGTCAGCCTTATCTAAGCCCGTCTGTCTTTCCTCCTGTCTGTCTGACCCGGTGTGGCTGGCTCAGATCTCTCAGGTCCACGCGCCCGCACCGCAGGGGGAACCGCCGTCGCCATGGTTACCACACCAATTACAGTGATGGAGCGAGCGGCGGCCGGTAGAGGCAGCCCACCGGCACAGATGGCAGTTTCAGAGCACAGATTGCTCTCCTCCCTCCTCCACCGGAGTGCCATGCCTCTCCTATTTGAGATTTGCTTTTAGCACAAAGAGCTTGCATACTTTGAAGTATTTTTATTATTTGTTGTTTTTGTTTCTGCTCTTTGCTGTCAGGCCAAAGCGTACGTCGTAGCAAACAAGCAGTGAATAAGACCGAGTCTCCATTCAGAGTGTGTATTTCAGCATATTCTCCCAGAGGAAACGGCTCCCCGTGGAGCTTTAACGCACAACTTCCACGGCCCAACAGCCCCTCGCTGTTATTGACATAAATGACGGAGAGGAGGGGGGGGCAGCTGGGGCTGCAGCTGGGGCACACACACACACACACACACTTCCATTTTCCTCCAAAATGTTGTGTTTGCAGGAAGAAGGGGGGAGGTGAAAGACGGTGAATTTATTTGTTATGGGAGAAAGCCTGTCGCCATTTAACCTCAACAGTAATCATTTATTACATTAATGTTGTATATGAGACCCTAATGCAGTTCCCCCATCATTCTAGACTCATCCATTAGCGCCCAGACACATCTAATCAATCCGGATGAAGCATGGACAGGATGGGGGGGGGGGGGGGGCGCAACGACGACTGTAGAACCTCCTTCCTGAGGTTTTCCTCATATGTTGCCACTTCAATGCATCTATTCATCACTTCTGATCTAATTTTCCTCCACTCACAGAACAAGGCTAAAGTTATCTCCCCATCTCTCTGTTCATCCTCCTAAACCCAGAAGATGGTCTCTTGGGCGGGTCCTGCCTTTTGCTCCTGGCCAGACAGAAACTAATGACCCCCCCCTCCCCATGTGCAGTAATTAAATCCTGTATGTGACTGTGTGCACACACATCGTTCTCTCTACCAGTGAGGTTAAAACCTTGGGTCAGGGTGGCAAGCCGACCATATGAGGCCGTGTCAGGTTTGTGAATAATGGTGTGTGTGTGGGGGGGGGGTCTCATAGCCTCACCGCTACTGTGCATATAATATCTGTGTATACAATAGTAATATGCACATGCTGCACAAATAAATGATTGTCTGCATTACACAATAAGTTCTATTCTTCCATGTCAACAGTACAATACTTATACATCTCTCTAACAACGGCATTCAAGTAAGCTAATGAAACGAGATGAAAGTGTAACACGATGCCTTTAAGTCCTGAACATCATTCCTCTCTTTCATGAGATACATATTTATTAAGCTGTTTGTACAGAAAGAAAGTAGACAGCTGGTTATTCTCTATTTAAAGTCCCGGCTCTTTAAACTCATTAAGCCAGCTGATAGAGGAACCCCTATTCATCCTCCATTTAAAAAAAAAACAAAAAGAGTGAGCTGGTTCCCACAGGAAACTCAGGCATTGCCCGGTGTCCCTCCATCCCAAACCTCTCCCTCCCTTTTCTCTGGCTGCTTTCCCCATTTCTCAAGGACCCCTGAGAGACTGGCACACATCCAATTAAAGCCCCTCCTCTCTTTGAGCCCAAACTCTAATGTTGTTATTGCTGTACAGGCAAACCCCCTCCCCGTTACCCCAGTTCTATTCCCAATTTCTCCCCCGCTCAGCCGTGCCGGAGGGTTTCAAAGCGTGGGCTCCATGAGACTCGGGTACGACACACTGCGACGGGGTGGACCCGGACCCACTAGCCTATTTACAATAGGAGCCTGGGGAAGGAGGAGTGGGTATGGAGTGCAGATAGATTGTACGTGACATACTCCTGTTCTCCAATTCCACTGGGGTGTTGAAGTTAAAAAGGACCCCCGGGGCGAAGGGACGACCCTTTTGAAATTGGGTTTCCTGATGTTTGAATAGATAGCCTATTGAAATAAGGAATCTGCCCTCTGGTTCAATTAATGTAGTCGAGATGGGAGCCCAGTTAGGAGATAGTTTGAGATGAGGGGACCATGTAGAATTTCAGAGGAACCACCAGAGAGGGATGTGTCAGTATGAACTCATGTAAACAGAGAATGCTATCTGTCTGCATCTCATCCCTGATCTCTTCATACGGCACCAAACAGCTCTTTAGTTGGAGGATATGGCAAGTCATATGTGTGCATGTGTGGGTGTATCTGTGGGTGGGAACTGGGCACCCACCATCTGTCCACTTATAGCAACCACAGGCTTATTCCTGCTATACATATATGCTAATAAGTGTTGCACCCCCATCTCATATCTATTGTTTATATTCAACTCAAGGGGATAAAAACACCGCCGAGGGAAAAAACTCAATTTACTCTTCGTCTGTCAAAGCCCAGGAAAGTAAAGCGTCTCACAATATGGCCAAACGTGGACCAACGTTTCATTTAATGAATGGTTGATGTGCACGAAGGGATCAGATTACTTTACGGATTGGAAACTTGCAAATCCCCCTCTAACCAGTATTTAAAAAGTTCCCAATGCATCTGGGATGTTGGTGAAGTCTGCTGATTACTAAAGCAGACTTTCCTCTGATCCACTAAAAAGACATCCGGACTGATACAGAGACGTTTTTTATACACTTCCTATCTGCTGTAAAAAGCCAGGCTCCTCACAAGTAAACAGGATGCAGAGCGGGGGGCGAGACCAGACTTCATTTCAATAGAAGGAAGAAGAAAGATTTGATGGAGTGGAGCTTCGCCTGGACTCGGTAAGAGTCCTTATGGTTGCGGGAAACCAAAAGCCGTAAACATGCATGTTTTGTATGAGGGTGTCCTTCTGTGTCAATCATGTTGCACAAAAGATAAGGAAGGTTTATGGGCACTCGGATACAACCCACGGACTTAATCTAGACTAATAAAGGAATGACTCAGTGTACTCTGCCCACATGCCAATAGCGGATTCGTGCGTTTATATAAGGAACCAGTGTCTCAATATAAATACATATGAGCCGGCCTTGCACTGGATAAGATGGCGTTAACTAAACTGAACAGCGGTACACGGGCCTCGGGCTAAGTGGACCACGGGTTGAAATGGGAAAATAGAGAATCTATCTCAGACATTATGTAACAAACATGGGAAATAGAGTTAGCTTTACAACAGGGTAGTAAGTAGAGCAAACTTACCCAATACAATGGCTAGTGTTGTTTTAGCCATAAAAAAACACAACACAAATAATATTTCTCATCTATTTAATACAAAAATAACACATTAAATATCAAAAATAGGCTTAAAAATGAAGTGTTTGGATTGAACCTGTTGGTGGAAGTACAAACTGGGATGAGAGACACAATGAAACCACACAATAAAGACAGCTGGACGTAGGATGGGATAAGTAGTAGAAGTGTATTTCTTACACACATCTAGCTCCGTCACATGCACGCACACTGGCTTCTTTGTTGACAGATTTATATGAGTTTACAGTCATTATGCCGTGCAGGCGAAGGGAAACTGGAGACTGGTGTATTCCCCGAGTGAACCCTGTTGTATTACTATGACCTCATCCTCTGCTTTTAGCATGGACTCCTGCCGGCTCTGGCCCTGGTCTTCAGTAATTGGATTACATTGGAAGAATCATGACCCTACTGGGCTGCCATACAGCTTCCTTATGTGCAATCTTGACTTCTGTGACTGTTTTAAAGGAATCCATACAAGCTAAGGGTATTTCAAAAGGTATAAATCTAACAAATGTAAGTGGAGGCTTTGCAATATGAGGAATCAAGCACCATAAATACTGAAAATAAAACCATCCATTTCATTGCCGCTGAAGGTTGGGTTATATTTTATGGACCCAATTCAGATTACCTAATGGCTTTGACTACAACCAGAAGGCAGTGTCTCCGAGTGTGACTGAATACATTACACAACACCCCCTTGGGCGGATACAATGCTACACTCCATAGGAAACAACTTATCGACCAACAAACGGCTGCATACCAAGACACCCATTGTTAAAGCAGGACTTTACCAATGCCTTTTTCTTGTCCTGCAAACACACTGCACAAACACTCCACTCTTTATACTAAAAACATTCCAAGCGGCCCAAACAATTGAGACCTGTAACAACTCAAACAGTCTTCCACTAATGCTGCAGAATAAATGTGGCCTCTGCTTGAACTGTGGACAGGGGCTGATGGTATTCTGCTTATCGGAGTTAAGGACAAAAGCTCTTAAAATCATTACGGATTAGCAGCGGGCCATTTTACCTAAAACCGGGCAGAAGGATTCTTTCATTACGTTGCGATACCATATGGTCGTCCTTCTGTGACACGGGAGGCAACGTTATTCGGTGGGAGAGGATCCTGAGGACGGACCGGCCTGTCTGGACAGTTTTGCAGCGGAAATGTCTCCGCTAGATGATCGTGTGGGTGGTCTTTACAATAATCTGCACATCCTCGTTGGAGGTTGAGATTCATACAGCAGAGTGCCAGGCCTGACGGCGCTCAGAGAACAGACTGCTGGGCTTGGCTCTGGCAGCCACTGGAGTAGGCTACCGGACCAGGACGGGGAAGTTTCCCCAAGAGCGCCAGACAGCCTCCGTCCAGCCCTCCGCCAAAACGCCCCTACCTGTCCCTGGCTATGGAGGCTACAGAGTGTGCCTGGGCCTGGCAGATTCCCAGACCTCCGTAAGCCCTGCGCATAGCGGCTGGGATTCATCCTCTTATGCCGAGGGGGAAGGGGATTTAGGACTTTATTTAGTACCATTTAGAAAAGATTACCCCTTAACTGCAGACTTGCCATCCAGCAAAAAAGGACATTATTGGTAAAATAATTACCCAAACAATACTGAAAGGGTTAGCTAACTCTAGGTCAGAGATAGAGGCAAAAAACCCAACCGAACACAGACTGAAAGCCAGTAAAATGAGACAATTATTGGGTACAGTGGATTGAAAGAGCTATTACAACGGGCTGGGAGTTTGTAATAAGATACAAGAATGGCTGAAGTGAGAAAAAAGGAAAGATTATGAGGTAAGATAGGAGCGGCTGTTGATGAAACATAG